ATTTGAGAGAACTAAGCACCTAGCAACTTCTTGAGCGCTGTGTCCACAGAGCTGCCAGGTACAAGCTGAAACAACCACCACTAAGTCATGCCACAGTAAAAGAGCTCCGCTTGAGCGTTCATGTACTAATAAAAACGTAAGGAGCGCCACGCAGTGGCAAGAGAATGTATTTCCAACTATGATCGCTAACACAACATCAGAAGAAAGGAGCCTTTGGAAATGTAAATATAGTATACTAAACACCCTCTACTTAATTCAATCTCTGCTTGATTTATTTTAATCAAAGCACTAGAATCATGACCTTTCACTAGGATAGCTTAATTCATCTGCAGCAACAATTCCTGAGAAAATTCAATCACTGGCTGTGAAAAGATGATGTTTAATCAAGCAGACACTCTGAATTACAAATGTTAAGTAAAAGAGAGTCTTGCCCAGGTGCTTTATAACCTGTGATTGCCATATTTGCCATTCTGTGCAGTAACGGGGTGAATTGCTCTGTATGCTTACAAGGCTCTGACTACTTCCTGACAAGCTGGGGCTGACCAATATTTATTTAACATTACAAGACAGTTATTTTGATAATACATAGATAAATATGAAACTTTGAATAAAAATGTTTTAATGAAATTCCTTTTCTTTGTAATGTTATTGGAGCCTGATATATAATCTTCTTGGCTAAACCAAAAGACCTCGGTATTTTTATTTCAAGCTTGCTAGGCTTTCATTTGTAAGTAACTATTTTTTCCATCTTTCCTTTTTTTTCTCGTGCCTTCTCTAGATCTTCTTGAAAAACTGAGGCCTGTTTCACAGTTCCCAGCTTCTCTGCCAATCATCTATGTGCTACATCCATCTACAGCAGAGCTGGAACTTTCAGAAAACTGGGCAGTAGCTGATAACAATCAATCCACAGGTTTCTACCCAGCACAGTTATTTTCCTCAGGATGAAACACAGCAGTTAGCAGCATGGTGCCCAACGTCTGCCTGGGTCCCACAGTAGGTATCAAAGTCCCTTTTGAAGGCTCCCGTGTTAGTGATGCCCAACATGTTCCTTACTAGACTTGTCATGTTCCTGCAGCATATGAAAAACTTAATTCATAATACTACCTTAAAGTTTTTCTGGGCCTAGTGGGATTTTTAATGTAGCCTAGATTTTATAGGTTTCACATCTCCATGATTTTTCTCCTGTTCTGATTTTCAGCTACCTACCAGCAAATTGGAAATATTTTTGCCTTTGTCAGCCTGTCATCGATTTTGTGTCTTCCTAAGTGGATGTCATATTGCTGCTTTCTGCAGGTGGAAAATCATGCTCCAATTTAACAGAAGACAAAATCAATCAAAGCTACATCAGTTACCAGAGCAGGGTTTCAAAATGTAAACCCAAGCAGCATTGCTAACTAAGAGACGCAATTCTCTTTCCACATTTATATGAGGATTTGAAAGAAGTAAATGTAGAAGTGATAAATCTTTTGTTTAGTCCTGTTTTAAATACAAACTTAGATAAGGGATCTCCATCTGTCTTTCCACCTAGTCTCTGCTCCATTCATATAAATGTACCTTTTGGTGTGCAGTGGCTCTACTGAGGACAAAAACAGATATACAGTTAGGAATGAAGAAAAAAAATGACAAGGAATAGGACAAATGGAGAACACCAACTTAAGGTTTAGAACACTAAGACTAATATACCATGACATTGTGGAAACGCTGCTATCATATAAAGTATAATAAAATTTGACTCTTGCACTTTGAAGTTTTAGCCACTCAATAAAAAGATTTTATATATTCAGCTCTCAAAGTATTCCTGAGAATGTGATAAAATACAGAAAATCCCTTAGTCACAGTTTTATCAAGGGAAAAACACATTTTGGGAATTCTATGTAAGTTTGACTTCTAATGTTATTTCAAAAGCTTTCAGAGATGCATTTGAATTCCCCAGGGTCATAATCTGTAGCCTGAGACTTGCTAAGTTTAACTATGGGCCTATGTCAAAGCACAGCATGAGACTGCTATCACTGTTCAGAAAAAAGTCCAGAAAATCTTGAAGATACCAAGAACATCTATGTGTCAATCTGTGGCTGTGTGTGTAAAAACTGGAAGTGTCAGCTACAGTGGCGGTATGCACAGAAATTGGTCATGACATTACAAAATCCTTAGGAGTTACTTTTGTGAACTCTGGGATGGTAAGTGAAACAGCAAAAGGTCGGAAACTGAAATGTGGTGCCTACCCTTTAAAGAGAAGCTGTGGAAGAGTGAAGTTACCTTAAACTTCAATTATCTGTTGATGATTTAAATGTGGGTTTTTTTATAGTTCTACGATTCGAAAAAGGACAGGAGTAGCCGTAAACCATTCTGATTTTTCAGCCTGCTGCAAGAAGAGAAACATCGCTTCCCTAATTTTTAGGTAAGGCTGTTGACAGAACTCCAAATGCCATCTTTAGATGTTTCTGACCGCAAGCCCAGACGCTACCATCACCACGTCTACGCAAACCCAGGCGGGTGCTGCTCTGGATGCCGGCGTCCCCTATCAGCTTGCCCGCCCACCGCCTCCCCGCCTGGAAAGGCTCACCGGGCCCAGCCACGAGGGGAGCTGGCCCCGCAGAAATAAACCACACTCCCTTTCGGCAGGAATAATCCCCTGCGGGCTTAGCAGCCTGAGGAGAGCAGGAGGCTTAGCAGCCTCAGGGTGTGAACATGGAGGCACGAAGCCCCCACTGGGGGGGAGCGGGGCCTGGGGAGATGGGCAGGGCCATGCCAGCACTAGCACCAGCACCGAGTTACGTGGGGACTCCGACTGCTGGAAGGCAAAGCGCGAGGCAGCAGGAGCTGCTGCGGAAGAGCTCCTACTCAAAATGGGTATAAAGCAAGACCCTGGGAACTACTGAACTGTCAGCCTCACCTCTGTGCCTGGGAAGATCATGGAACAGATCCTCCTAGAAGCTATGCTAAGGCACATGGAGGCCAGGGAGGTAATTCGGGATAGCCAGCATGGCTTCACCAAGGGCAAGTCCTGCCTGACGAACCTAGTGACTTTCTATGATGGTGTGACAGCAGTGGACAAAGGAAAACCAATGGATGTCATCTGTCTGGACTTATGCAAAGCCTTTGACGTGGTCCCCCACAACATCCTTCTCTCTAAATTGGAGAACTATGGATTTGATGGGTGGACTGTTCAGTGGATAAGGAACTGGCTGGATGGTCACATCCAGAGGGTAGTGGTCAATGGCTCGATGTCCACATGGAGATTGGTGACGAGTGGTGTCCCTCAGGTGTCCGTACTGGGACCGGTGCTGTTTAACATTTTCATCAATGACTTAGACAGCGAGATCGAGAGCACCCTCAGCAAGTTTGCGGATGACACCCAGCTGAGTGGTGTGGCTGACACACCAGAAGGACGAGATGTCATCCAGAGAGACCTGGACAGGTTAGAGAGGTGGGCCCATGTGAACCTCATGAGGTTCAACAAGGCCAAGTGCAAGGGCCTGCGCCTGGGTCGGAGTAACCCCCAGTATCAGTACAGGCTGAGGGAAGAGAGGATCGAGAGCAGCCCTGCCGAGAGGGACTTGGGGGGGCTGGTGGGTTGAAAGCTGGACATGGCAGGGGGCGCTG